ATGGCGAAGTTGAGGCGAGGGAACATTGTTTGGAACTTCGTCACCGCGGGGCAGTACGTCGGGGACCAGTCGAAGATGCATGGGGACCGAAAGTTGCGTTCCAACTTATGCGGCCACCTGTTTCAGGGGGGGTCGTCGAAGGCCGCGCGCCATTTTACGCAGGCGAAGTTCTGCAAGGCTGGGGGGATGAGAATTCATGCGGAACTCTGGAACGGCACGGACTACACATTCATGTCGTCCACTGCTCAGCGTGTGCAGAGGTGGATGGCAGACGAGGGCATACGGGACACGAGAGCGCCCGCGGGTGGCCAGCGACAGCGGATGGACGACGCAGAGAGGGACGAGATTCAGGATGCCCTCGATGAGGAGGAGGGCCGCGAGGGTGAGGTCAAGGAGGGGGGGGTGGCAGACGAGGCAGACGAGGGAGTCGAAGAGCCTGACCTGCCAGGGGAGGAGGTGGTGATGACGTCGAGAGGCGTCGGTCGAGCGGGTCCCGCTCCTGGGGCGCCGCGACCTGAGTTGGAGCGCGCGAGGAGGGAGAAGAGGACAGTGGGGCAGGCTGCCATCGAGGTGCGCAACACGGACAGGGAGAAGAGGGCTCGGCAGACCACGATTGACGAGATGTACGCCAAGGAGAAGTTGGCGGAGTTCACAGACGCGTGGCTGCAGTGGATCTACGTGAAGGGGTTGCCATTCAATGCCTTCCGTGGTCCGGAGTTCCAAAAGGTGCGGCAGACGGCGGAGAGAGTGCCTCGCAGTATCCAGTTCCGGTTTCCCTCCTTCAGGGTCACAGCGGGCGCCGGTATCCCTTCGCAGAGGGCGAAGGTCGCGACGATGGTGAGCGAGGTGCGCGCCGCTTTCTGGCACAGCGGTGCCACCATGCTCTCCGACGGGAGGAAGTCGCGCAGCGGCAAGCCGCTCATGAACTTCCTCGTCGTGGGCACCAATGGCGCCCTGCTATACGCCACTGTCGCACGCGACGGGTCGGTCCGAGACACCGCATACATCGTGTACCATAGGTGGCGGGCCATCATCTTGTCCTTTCCTGCAAAGGACGTGATCGGCTTCTGCACTGACTCCACCAGTAACTATACGGCGGCAGCGCGCAGATTCGCCACTAACCCCGAGCCCGACATTAGGAGGATCACTTGGCTCCCCTGCTCCACCCATGCAACTTGATGTTGTCAGATATCGGGACGCGAGTGGGGTGGGTCATGGACACCATCATCCGCGCTCGGGCGCTTGTGCGATTTATTAAATCGCACGGCGCTGGTCACGCCCTGTTTAGGAAGGTGAGCCCTCGTGTTCAGCTCGTCGAGCCCGTTGAGACACGGTTCGCATCGGTTTTCCTGATGTTGACGTGTCTCAAAGGCCGACGAGACGCGTTGGAGAGCATGTTGCACGGGGATGCTTGGGCACGCATCTCGTGGGAGCGCAGGCATGTATCTCAGGCGCAGTGGGTGCAGCAGCAGATCCGGGACCGGACGGCAGGGTCGACACCGTGGACCGGACGGCGGCACCCGGAGTTGCGCACAGTGGCGGATCCCCGCCGACTGTCCGAGGTGGTGTGGGTGGCAGATGGTCAGCTGTCCGTCGGGTCGGGGACCGGTTGCGAGCGGATTACGACGCCGGGAGGGGCGTCTTCACGGGACGTACGCCAGTTCAGACGCAGGCTGCGGAGGGTGGGTCCGGACGTCCGAGCCTGCAGATGGCAGGCCGCATGCTCGGTTTGTCACGGGCAGAGACGAGGAGATCATTGGTCCTTGAGGCCGTAAGGACATCCACGGACATGCTGCGGGGAGAGCAGTTCACATCGGGCGAGGAGGGGTTGTTGATGCGTGCCGGGACGAGACGACAGCATGGCCTCTCGGAGGTTGAGGCTCGACTCGCGGCAGGGATCGCCGCTGGCCAGGCAGCATTGGACGTGATTCAGAGGGAGAGAGAGATGGGGATTGCTGCACGGGCGGCAGAGGACGAGGACGCAGACACAGAGTCCAAGCCGATCGAGACTGCGGCCTGCAGACACAGGGCACAGGTGGCCGCGGCAGCCACTGCAGCACAGGCGGCATACCTCAGCCGGGCACGGGGCACAAGTGCCGGAGGAAGAGGAGGGCGCCGGGGAGGACCGCATGGCCGCTCGTCCTCCGGGAGAGGCCGCGCGCGCTCTGGAGGGTGATGACGACGTCCATGGTTGTTTTTTTTTTTCATTAGTTTTTTTTGTTTTTTGCGTGGCTGTACAGCCTGGACGCTCTGTCGGCAGGGTTGTTGCATATTTATGTCGATGTTGTTCTATGGAGACGACGACAGTATGTGGACATTAGGTTTTTTTTTTGTTTTTTTTTTTTTTGCTGCTCGGTTGTACAGTAGAGACGACGGGTCCAGTTTTTTGCTTCATCCTTGTACATAGGGTCAAGTTTTTTTTTGCTACTCGGTTGTACAGTAGAGACGACGGGTCCAGTTTTTGGCTTCAGCCTTGTACATACGCATTTCCATTGAAATGCTTTGTTATATATTTGTTCTTGTTCGTGTTCCTCTACCAACATTGGTCTTGCATCTGAGTCGCTGTTGTTTGGTGAGTGGTATGTGGTTTGTTGTCGTGATTGTTGCAAATTATGTGTTTCTCCGATGCCACGCACCTGCATGTCATGGATGCCTCCATTATGAATGAGCTGTTAATTTCAGATGCAACATAGGGATGATGTGCTAATGAATGTGTTCTTACAAAAATGTCCACCAGTCTAATGAGTGAACACACACTATGACACACTTGCCTGTTAACATTGTTTGAAGTTTATGGATCGCCACACTGTGATTGAGTTTGAATGCGTTTTGACTTTGGTATGCCAACAAGGGTCAAACTTATGATTGTCATGAATGTGTTGTTTCAAAATATGTCACGAACTGTCATCACCCTCACGAATGAAACCGACGCCTGCCTTTCAGTGCCTGAGGCCCTGAGTCGGCTGGGGTCTGCCATCTGCAGCCCCGTCCAGCTTCGACCCGACCTGGCCGCACGGGCCGCCCCAAGCAGACCCTCATCCAACCCACGTTGGGTCGCCCCCGCAGGGGTCAAAAAAAAAATTATTTTTTTTCTACTATTCCAGACCCTCTCCCCTGCGACCCCGCATCGAAGAACCCGCACGCGGGGGACGCACAAATTTTCGCGGCCCACCCTTCCAGGGCCATGTGCAGGACCCCCCCTGTTTTTCATTTTTTTGACGCCCTGTCACTTTGAGGGGGTGCCCCCCCACCCCCCCACCCCAAACCCCCTCTCCGCTTTGAAAACCGCCCCCCAGATCGGCCGATGCCGAGGCCGAAAAAACTCGGCCGGACCGGCCGCGGCTGGGGGGGTCCCGGCCTAGGCCGGCGGCCGCAGGCCGAAACCAGCCGCGGCCAGCGTCAACATAGGCTGGAATCCTCTCTTAATTTCATTATCTAATTTTCAACAAAATTTCTGTCATATAGGAAGGAAAGTGCTTTTGTGGACTTTGCGGTACCAAAGGTGTGTTAACACAATGGAAGACGTGAAGATTGAAGGCATGGAAATGGCGGATTTAATTCAGCAATTGGTACAAACAGAACTCAAAGCTCACTGGAAAAAAGCAAAAACAGGAATGGTAGCTCTTAAAAAAAAAAAAAAAAAAACATTAAGCAGAGAGTCAAAAATTGAATTTGGACTGCCTGGGGGATGCATCAGGGAAAAAACTGGAGGAGGTGGTATGGCCAGGAGGGGAAAGGGATCAGGTGTCCTTCAAGCGTGATTACCAGATCATCTTTCAAGACTGGTTTGACATCCAACCAGGAGCTTCCCTGAGAACGCTCGTATCTTTTTCTGACCACTTCCCTCCTTCTAAGCTGGCTTTAGCGGATCTTCAGTGGTATGAGGGGGGAGAAGGATAATAGGCTGATAGAAGGAATTGGTGTGATTTTGTTGGGTTTTGGGGCGTTAAAATGCAGTCTTGAAGGAGAATCTGCTTGTTGCATCACTTGTACCAGGCGGCTGGGAAGCTGGCATAAGAGGCAGTTCAATCCTCAAAAATGGATAGGTCTAGTAGCATCATCACCATATTAGTACCAATATGACCAGTAGCATTATCAGTAGATGCTTAGTTCAATTTTTTTATAGAGTTGTAGCATGGTTCGCTTCTTGACTAAAGGGTGGGGGTTAGGAAGGCAGGGTAGCTTGTTGTCATTACACCACATGTCTGTTCCAAAAAACAGTTTCAATGTCTAGGGACGCTGGACCCGCTTTCCAGCAGGTGGAGCTCCCCACCAATAGATGGAGCCTTCCTAGGACTGTTAGCGGTGTCTGCTCTTATCAGCACCGCTGGCGTTGGCTAGGGGTTGTCTTAAACCACTAGTACCTCCGTGTTGGGAAATTACGATGTTTTGCCAGTTCCCGAAGTTATCGGGAGTCCCAATAGGCTCGGAATGGATTCAGTGTCCCAAAAATAAAACGATTTTGTAATTTTTTTTTCGATCCTGCTCAGACATTGGCAGGCCCATGATCGTTCCTGGACAGCGGGCGCGTTGTGGAAACACTACCGAGTCCTACCGAGGACGGGTTGGAGCGTGGCAGATCGGCCGGTCGCTGGTCTGCGGTCGGGCGGTGGATGGTGGGTGACTGGACGACCGCCTTCGCGGCCGACCACCTTGCATCGACGCGCGAAGGACCGCCTCCTTCGGACCTCCCGCTGTACGGCTCTCCGCGGGTCGCCATCGCCATCGCCTCTCTCTCTCTCTCTCTCTCTCTCTCTCTCTCTCTCTCTCTCTCTCTCTCTCTCTCTCTCTCTCTCTCTNAAGAATGGGTGAAAGCATGAACGAAACTAGACAAAACACATGAACATGACAAGTAGAAGCACACTATGGTGAAGTGAGATATACCCAAGTAAAAGAATGATTGGAAGCATGAAGGAAACTCGACAAAACACTCTCACATAACTCGTAGAGGCACACTATGATAAAGCGAGATATACTCAAGTAGAAGAATGATTGAAAGTAAGAAGGAAACTAAAACAAAACACTCTCACATGACTAGCAAAAGCACACTATGATAAAGCGAAATATACCCAAGTAAAAGAATGATTGAAAGCATAAATGACACTTGACAAAACTCGTGCACGTGACAAGTAGAAGCCCACTATGATGAAGCGAGATATACCCAGGTAGAAGAATGATTGAAAGCACAAAAAAAACTTGACAAAACATTCTCTCATGACTAGTAGGGGCATATTGTGATGAAGCAAGATATACCCAAGTATAAGAATGATTAAAGCATGAAGGAAACTTGACAAAACACATGCATATGACAAGTAGAGGCACGCTATGATGAAGCTAGATAACCGAAGTAGAAGAATGATTGAAAGCATAAAGGAAATTTGATAAAACTCATGCACACGACAAGTAGAAGCACAGTATGATAAAGCAAGATACACGCAAGTCAAAGAATGATTGAAATAGACACACTATGATGAAGTGAGATATACCCAAGTAGAAGAATGATTAAAAGTATGAAGGAAACTCGACAAAGCACATGCACATGACAAGTAGAAGCACACTATAATGAATCGCGATACACCCAAATTGAAGAATGATTGAAAGTACGAAGAAAACTAGATAAAACACTCTCATATGACTAGTAGAGACACACTATGATAAAGCGAGATATACCCAAGTAGAAGAATGATTGAAAGTGTAAAGGAAAAACACTCTCTCATGACCTGTAGAGGCACACTATGATGAAGCTAGATATACCCAAGTAGAAGAATGATTGAAAACATGAAGGAAATTTGACAAGACACATGCATCTGACAAGTAGAAGTTCACTATGATGAAGCGAGATACACCAATGTAGGAGATTGAGTGAAAGCATGAAGGAAATTGAAGAAAACACATGCATATGACACGTAGAAGCACATTATGATGAAGAGGGATACACCCATGTAGGAGAATGGAGGAAACCAAAAAGAAAAGTAGACAAAACACATGCATACGAGTAGAAGGAGCCCTCTACAGTGAAGCGAGATACAAACGAGTGCAAGAATGACAGAAACCATGTAGAAAAGTAGACAAAACATATGCACACGAGTAGAAGAAGCACTCTACAGTGAAGCAAGATACACCCAAGAGGGGCCACTCAGGAATGAATCGATTCCCCTTGACATTTCAACTGCCCACGGCAGGGAGCGGGTGGCAAGCCGTACGAGCAAGCGCGCACGTGCGCGGAGAGAGAGAGAGAGAGAGAGAGAGAGAGAGAGAGAGAGAGAGAGAGAGAGAGAGAGAGAGAGAGAGAGCACTGGAGCTGCCAAGTTGCTCTCTCTCTCTCTCTCTCTCTCTCTCTCTCTCTCTCTGCGCGCACGTGCGCGGAGAGAGAGAGAGAGAGAGAGAGAGAGAGAGAGAGAGAGAGAGAGAGAGAGAGCAGTGGAGTTGGCAAGTTGCACAGACTNCTCTCTCTCTCTCTCTCTCTCTCTCTCTCTCTCTCTCTCTCTCTCTCTCTCTTCTCTCTCTCTCCGCGCCCGTGTTCCCATTTCATTATTTTTTCCACTTTATTTTTTTTTATTTTTTTTTTGGTCACTACCGGCCATTGGTTCACTGACACCTGTCTGACCCGGCATGTTAACGACCGCATCAGAAATTTTAGCAAGGCGAGGTACTGGTGGTTTAAGCTTTCTGCCAAAAAAGAGCCAACAATCATTTTTTTCGTTGTTCGTCCTCGAAAGATCACAACGAGATCTGTGGCCCCCCGAATTTTCAGAAATTTTCACTCATTCCTCTGATCGAGAAAAATCACTAACTTCTTCAGTTAGCCCACACATGGCAGAGTGGCAAAAATGGAAATGCGCCGATCCGGCGCAGCTATTATTTTATGGGCAAAATGGTTTGTTTGTTTTTTTTCTGAATTTGTCCTGGTAAGATCACAATGAGATCTACGGCCCCTTGAACTTTCGGAATTTTTCTTACTCGTTCTTTTGAACAAGAAAAATCACCAAAGTTGTCATACTTCTCTTAGCCAAAGGATGGTAGAGTGGCAGAAATGGAAATATGCTGAATTGGTCTCGGCAATTATTTCACGGCCAAAAGGATTTTATTTTATTCTTCTGATATTTTTCCTGGAAAGATCACAACCCTAATTTTTTTGAATTTTCTCAAATTCTTTGTGAATTCTTCTGAGCCAAAAATCGCCAAAGTTGCGGCTTTGAAATTGCGGTACTAGGCCCACTGGTTGGCAACGGTCGTCGCCCCCCCGAACATGCCCGAACTCACAGGAAGGGCAATTTCCAGGAGGCAGGTAGAAGGGTGGTTAAACCACCACTCCCCCAGCCGGCCAAAATTCAGTTTCCCTGGCCAGATGGGCCGCATTTTGGGGAAGGTCGGCGACTCTTGGTGCCCAAAAAATAAAAAGTGCGAGAAAAAAAAGAAAAAAAAAGAATTGATGAGCGAGAGGAGTGTTGAGGTATCATCATTGACCTGACTGGCCCTGTTTAGAAAAGTGTCGCCTGTTGCCCGTTGGTTGCAGCACACAAAAGGAAAGAAGGAAATAAAGGTTGTGCATCTTGCCATGTTTGAGGGAAGAATCATTTTCATTCGCACATTTGGCAACTCGTGGAACCACGGCCCACTTCTAGAAGACGCCCCTGCACTGCAAAGCGTCGGCCGTTGGTGGAAGCAGCACAGAGGCATGAAACAATAACTGGCTGTGCATCTTCCCATGTTAGAGGGAAGAATCATTCTCATTTTGCACATTTGGAGAGAAGTGGAGCCACGACACACTTCTGTAGGTCGTGCAGTTTCCTGTATCGACGAATACAGATGGACTAGCTCAGTTGGTAAGGCTCGCAAGTGGCATCCAGGAGGTCATGGGTTCAATCCCCATTGGCCTCGTGTACCTTCCTGGGCTTACTTGGCACCCGCTACCCAAGAGATAGACCACTGGATCCCCCGATCGGCATCAAGCAGAGTCTGCTATGTTCGTGGGGGAGGGGCCTGAGGGAAGGCACGGGGGATTGGTCCGCTTTATCCCTGGTGCTACCGGCCGTCCCCTGGTCGGTATCCTGCAGGCTCGAGGGGCCGTAAAAAAAAAACACGGCTCTGGTATGCTACGGGTTTCCCCGTATGCCTACAGGTAGTAGTGGTAGGTAGGTAGTGTGAGGAAAAATTGAGAGGAGTATAGTTTTAGAAAAAAAAACAAAACAAAAAAAAGAATACAGATGACTTGGCAAACCTTGAGACTAAAAGTGAAAAAACCCAAAAAATGAAAAACAAAACGACTGGTTGTGCATCTTTCCGTGTTAGAGGGAAGATGCATTCTCATTTTGCACATTTCGTGAGCAGTGGAGCCAGGGCCTCTTCTAAACCACACCCCAGCAGTGAAACGCGCCAGCCCTTGCTGGAAGCAGCACAAAGCCTGAAACAACAACTGGCTGTGCATCTTCCAGAATATTCGTTTTCATTTTGCACATGTGGTGGTGAGTGGAGCCACGGCCCACTTCTGCACATGCGAGGATTGCAGGATGTTTCAGAAAAAAAAAAAAAAAAAAAAAAAAAAAAAAAACCTAAAACCTAGGCTACCAAAGTGCCCCGGGATCACTTGCCTGGCCGGGCAAAAAAAATAATGAAAACAATATTTATTATTATTATTTTTGTTTAATTCGGTGAAGAATTTCGATGTGGCCCTGAGGCAAAAGTTGTTCGATTTATTTTTCTGCATAACATAGTTTTTTTCCGGATGTTTTTTATTTTTTATTTTTTATTTGTTTTTTGCTTGGACCTTCGCTGGTCCTTGCACGGGCTGGCCACCCGGGACCCGGGCGGCTCGGCTGGTAGCCTATAGCCTAAAACACAAAACGGCAGGTTTCTTTTTCTTTTTACAAATTACCAATCTACGGACCTCACTTCAACTATTGAGGCAGTTTTGAATCTACGGGCAGGTAGGGGACTGGCAGGTTTCAGACCCCTCACAGGTTGTAGCAGTCCCTGCTAATGGTAGGTCAGGTGCCAATTCCAGAAGTTGGCCTACCGGTCCGCCCTAGTTTTGGAAGGCGGGGGGAGTGGTGGTTAAAACAAGGTACTCCTGACCTGCTTGGATTGGATACGCCTGCGATTTCTGGGGGCTGCTGGAACTCGTAACGGTTTGGCAAATCTTGCAGAAGAGCAAAAAAACAGGAGCACAGAACACTCCACTTGTGCAGGGCTGCTTTTTTGCTTCGTTCTGTTTTACGAGTAAGCAGTTTGCAATTTGCCCAATGTGGATTTTTGCCCAAAACCCTAGGAAATCCGAGCCGCTGCAGCCCACGATCTGCCAGGTGCTGACAGCCTTTTCCGATGGCCACTCCAGGCCCTTTCCGCAGCCCCATGTTAACCGGCAGGCATTTTCTCAAGGGCTGGGACGATCACTGGTGCTGGAAACAACAGAGAGGTAGCTTTGAGCGGAGTTTTCGAGGATCCTTGCAGTGCTTGTCCAAAGAGCAGAAAGGCCAGCAACAGGAAAACGCTTTTGCAAAACTCTGGCATCATCAGGGAAGAGTCGACGATCTTTCCACAGGTATGGACAGAGAACGGCAGGGATGCTTGAGTGGAGTTCACAAAGAGCAGAAACACCAGCATCAGGAAAACGCTGAGCTCAATTTACATTAGGGCTCCCCGTGCGTACGTACGCCAGCATCAGGAAAACGCCACCGCGGTAACGTTGGATGGCAAACGAAAGGAATGTCCTAGCTGACACAACTGCAGACACTTCCCTAGAAGGGTCTTCTCTATGCACCCCAGCTCGGCAACGAGCATCCTGTCTCAAGCAAACCAACCACTTTGCCCCCTCTGGCCGACTCCAAATTCGAGCAAAACGAACCCATAACCTATCCCGCAGATTAGGAGTCTTCACCCGCTCGTGACGGAGGCAAACACAAGAGAAAGGACCAACGGCACTGACATATTCTCAGAACCACAAATTGCTTCAGACTCTTTCAGGGCGTGCAGGTTTAGACAGATAATCAGCGGGGAAAGGTCGCCTTTGTCTGTCTAAGGACTCAATGATGATCACAACAGAAGTTCCTTTTGCCAACCAGCAGCAAGCCAAACACATCATCGAAGAAGAATCCCGCACCTCTGCATTGCCTTGTCGCCCGCCAGCTCGACCACATCAGATGTGCCCAAGGAATCCTTGTCGAGGAAATAGAGATAAGCTGAGTGAGATGTAATCCATCACCACTAATTGCTGCATTTGTAGAACAGTATGTACAACGAGGAGGATGACATACACTAGACTCAGGAAGAGCGCTTGCAGATAAATTGTGGGCCTGGGCTTCTCAAGAAGAGTCACAAATATCTAACACCGTAATTAAGACAGGGCAGAACATTACCTTCATCACATCATGCCTAAACTCCTTGGCACGACATCTCTTGCTGCTGCTGAGACCCACACCTAATCCAATTGATATACCGACCACCCTCTGTTCCCTGATGCTCCGGCTGAAAAGAAGGGGAAGGATACTTCCAGTTCATTCTCCGAAGTAGAGCAAGAGTGGCTGGAAACTGTGCAGAGCAATTCAGCATAGAGATGACAGTCCACATGCATGCGCAGCCATTCCCACCTCAACCACCCCACAGAGTGCCCAGTCCATGCAAACATGACACTGTAGCTCATCTACAACAGCCACACCAATGCTTCGACGACACAAACACGACACTGCCACCAAAACCATCCTTCTGCCGAGTCCAAGCCGTTACTCGTTGAATAACCACACCATTGCGAGATGACGATCGTTACTTCCATAGTAAGCGTGGCAGAGTGCCCAGTCAGTGCCAACACACACTGCAGCTCGTCCCCGGACGCCCACACTAACGCAACATGACAAATGCCACTTCCATCGTCACCACTTCTATAGTCTCTTAACAAATCCGACCATGGTTATTCACCCAAGCCACATTTTCCCAATGCGCTCCACTGCGTGGCTCTAAAGAAAACAAACCACAGCAGGCACGATCTTGCCAGGCGCCACCAGCCTTCTCTCCCTCTGGTAGCCCCAAACCGCAATTTAGGCGGCACGTCAAGCAGCGCATCGGAACAAGGCACCAGGGAAACAAGCTGGTGGTATAAAGTCGTTCCCATATTTGGGCCCTTTGAGATCACACATGGGAATGCACAAGCCAGCACACGAGTATGGAAGAGCATAACTTGACAGAACAGCCCCCCAGTGAAGGCCACTGGTCTAGCACGCTGCTTGGCCTTCTCAATCATCAGCCTGACTAAGAGGCCGCCCCTCCATCATCTCCTTTCCCCCTCGCCAAAGCCTTCAGACTCCAGCAGTGATTTCCAGCTCCCTGCTCCGCATCACCCTTAGGTTTACAACAACAGCGCAATATTGGTCAGGGCAGCCGCCAGGCATTTCAAACAGAGGTCATCGAGAGTCCTTCCCAGAGGCCCCAGATGGGGCCATTCTCTCCCACCGAAGAGAAGAGACACGGAGAACACCAATCTTTCCCACTGGGCAAACACACCTTTCGAAAGGATTGTTGCGCCAACAACTCGTTGCTCAGTAACCCCGCTCACATAGAGGAACATCATCGCATTGTATACATGTACAGAGGACAATTTACTTGTGACCGACGAGAACCAGACATGTCAACTGCAAGGAACACCCGTTCAATATCAAGAACACCCCACGGGATCAAGGGTAGGCATACATGGCATGGAGACGTTCACCAAATATGAAAATGACAGGCAGAAACGATTTCAAGGTGAGAGGGCACCTGCAGCTCGTGTCAACGAGAACACTGGGGAAATACCTGCCAACATGTTACTCTAGAGAGCGAGCGATACGGTGCAGTTCATACATGCTACCGCCTTCCAATCAAGGTTTCAACTAGAGGAGGCTTCTCATACCCTATAAAGGAACTGATTACGGAGCCCACAGGTGCTCCAAGGCAGAATCAATAAAAGGTTAAGAAAACTTTAAAAGGTGACCCCATTACTCCTTCCCACGTACTCTTTTGCTGCGTCACAGGGCAACCACGTGGTTGAGAAGGGTGCTGAGAGGGAGGGGGACCTTAGGTTCTACCCTTGTGGTGTCTGCAGAGTTGACCAGCATCTCCAAAGGCGATGAGGAAATCAACTAAGAGTGACGGAATCTGGCTGTAGCTGCTGTGAGATAGAACAAGGACAGGCCTAGTGTGAACTGAGAGGGGAACCTTAATTTTCTCTCCTCGTGGTGCCTGCAAAATTGATCACCATCTCTGCAGAGGCTAGCGGAAATCAGTCAGGGCAACTGAATCTGACCATAGCTTCAGTTAGATACATCAGAGAAAGGCCTATTGTGAACATCCCCCAAGGGAGACGTAAACGTGGAGTTTGATCGGGCACTTCGGCGGTTCACAGGTCTGCAATCTTGTTCAAACGTATGAGCATGTCCAAATGTATGTCGGAGGATTGCGAGAAAGGGCCCAAAAGTCTTTGTTGGGCCCAGAGGGCTCGGTGGAATTAACCAGCGTCCAAATGTGTATCGGACGATTTGCGAGAAAGCCCCAACATTCTTTTTTTTTTTCCCTGAGGGCTAGGGTGGCACTCAACCACGAGTACTTCCGAGGCACTTTTCTCCTCGGCTGGAAACACCCTGTGCGCGAAAAATAACCGAACCAGTCCAATGGAATTAACCCGCATCCAAATGTGTATCGGACGATTTGCAAGAAAGCCCCAACCTTCTTTTTCTTTTCCCTATGGGCTAGGTGACACTAAACCACCAGTACTTCCGATGCACTTTTCTCCTGGGCTGGAAACACCCTGTGCCCCAAAAATAAACAAACCAGCGCGGGCCTTCTTTCGGCGGCACTTTCAGCCAGTTTGCTCGACGGACGCATGCAAGCCACATATTTTGTTCTTTGGCTGGGAAACGTACTGGTGGTTTGAGCAGCTTCTCTGCGGAAGCGTACACAAAATAACCGCCCACAGCTTTCTCTTTCTTTTGCATCTGGATTTTAACTCGGGTCTGTATTTCGACAGTTTATGGGTGTACCAACTGAGCTAGGCCCATTGGTGAAAAATAACCACCCACAGCTTTCGTCGATCTACACTCACACTGTGTCACAGCAATTATGGCCGTGTTCAGTCCTGAGAGGGAAAAAAACGCCTGTCCAGTGCCGTCGGGAGGCTTTCACGATTCAGGACCAGCTGGATCCCAAGCTGGGCCAACTGGATTGAGAGATGGATCAGCTGGATCCAAAGATGGCCAAGCAGGACAGGATCCAAACATGGACCAGCAGATCCAGAGATGGCCATGTTCAGTGCTGAGACAAAAAAGCCTGTCCGGTGCCACTGGGGGCATTTTCACGATCCAGAACAGGCTGGATACCGAGCTCGCCCTACCAGACTCAGATGGACCAGCTGGATCCCAAGACGGGCCATCTCCCAAGATGCACCATCTGGATCCCAAGATGGACCAGCTGGATCGCAAGATGAACCAGCAAGATACAGGGGTCGACCAGCTGGATCCCAAGATAGACCAGCAAGATCCAAAGACGGACCAGCGGGATCCCAAGATAGACCAGCAAGATCCCAATATGGACCAGCTGAGTCCCAAGATCCAGAGATCGACCAGTAGGATCCAAAGGTGGACCAGCTTGGGTTTGAACAGGCTGGATACCGAGCTCGCCCTACCAGACTCAGATGGACCAGCTGGATCCCAAGATGGGCCACCTGGATCCCAAGATGGACCAGCAAGATCCCAACATGGACCAGCTGGATCGCAAGATGAACCAGCAAGATACAGGGATCGACCAGCTGGATCCCAAGACGGACCAGCAAGATCCAAAGACGGACCAGCTGGATCCCAAGATGGACCAGCAAGATCCCAATATGGACCAGCTGAGTCCCAAGATCCAGAGATCGACCAGCAGGATCCAGAGGTGGACCAGCTGGAACCCAAGTGGGACCACCAAGATCCAGAGGTATCCAGAGATGGCCATGTTCAGTCCTGAGACAAAAGAGCCTGTCCCGTGCCATCGGGGACGTTTTCACGATCCAGGACAGGCTGAATACTGAGCTCGCCCTACCAGACTCAGATAGACCGGCTGGATCCCAAGATGGGCGCCATCGGATCCCAAGATGGACCAGCAAGATCCCAACATGGACCAGCAAGATACAGAGATCGAACAGCTGGATCCCAAGATTGACCAGCAAGATCCAAAGACGGACCAGCTGGATCCCAAGATGGACCGACTGGATCCCAAAATAGACCAACAAGATCCCAATATGGACCAGCTGACTCCCAAGATCCAGAGATCGACCAGCAGGATCCAGAGATGGACCAGCTGGAACCCAAGTTGGACCACCAAGATCCAAAGGTGGACCAGCTGGATTAAAGTATGGACCAACTGGATCCCAAGTAGAACCACCAAGATCCAGGTGGACAACGGATCCCAATATGGACCAGCAAGATCCAGAGATGGACGAGCCGGATCTACGTAGCAGTGGCTATATTCTGTCCCTTCTTCCCAATACTCAGTAGCAGAATCACAGAAATGCACGCCTCACGACATAGCCCGCTCACCCGTTTTATTCGTTTCTTCGCCAAAAGGCATGCTGCATCACAACATCAGTACTGAATCTAGGGAAGGGAACCAAGGTAAAGCAAATAACTCGACGGCCTAACGGTTGGCAAGCAGTTAATCAGCAGACCATGCAGCATGGTTGTGCTATTCCTCTCCCCAGTAAGAGGCGGAATAAGGATGTAAAATCTGCGGCGATGGCGAGACATTCATCATTTGGCGCTCACAGAAAATTACCACCAGGCAAGGCAGAAAGAGCTAGCTGCATCAAGTAGGTTAGCCGAACTTACATTGGAGACGACTTCCCTCTCGCTCAACTTGCACAGCCGCACCGAGCTAACCAGAGGTCAGTCATTCGTCAACGAGTTAGTTACTTGTAGGTAGAGGGTAGTTATCGATCAATGGAGACCGTCAAATGATCAAATTTTGCCATTTTTTCCATCTTATACAAGCAGTCGAGCAGCTAGTTGTTAATTTACTGCGACAGAATCAAAAGCTAATCAGTAATTCTCACCCCCCCCCCCCCCCCCCCCCCGCTCTCTCTCTCTCTCACACACACACACACACACACACACACAGGGATCGAGTCACACCACGAGCGAGCCGATGCCGCCGCCACGTGTATAGAAAAAAAGAAAGCCAGCCATCTATACATCAAAATAGCTCGAAGAAGTTGATCCCCAGCCAGCCAGCCAGTCCCTAAAGCATTTACATGGGCAATCGAACTAAACGTACAGTCCCTAACGCATTTACATCGGCAATCGAACTAAACGCACACGTGTTCCAGCTTGTCATTCCTGCATAAGACAGCCAGCCAATCACAACATCCCCTCTAGCTGAGCCCTATAACTGAACGAAAGTCACGTCATCGACTCTGTCATTGCCATCAAATGTTATGATTGCTTTTCAATTTTCATCTATTTGCTGTTTTAAGTATCCACCTACGCCGGTCCGATGGAGTTCTAGTTTGGCCCACTACGGCGGCGGCGAGCGGGGGCAGGGGCGAGGGGCGGGGCGGGGGTGGAGGCTAGCGGGAGGTTGGAGGGAAAGGAGGGAAGAGCACACCGAAACGGAACAAGTTCAGTAGCTAGCAGCATCGCAGAAATAGACACGGCATCGTTTAAGGACCTCGTTCCACTACTCGCAAACCTGAAAATGGCGAGGGTATCTGGCAGGAGAAGTTGGCCGGATACATTCGTCATTTTACAAAATCGCCAAGTGTTGGAACGAAGCCCTACATATAAATCGTTCTTATGTTCTCTCATTCGTCTTCTATTAACGTTTAATAAGGGCATGCTCACACGAGGACTTTCTCTACTAAGCTCTGGACGTGATTGCAGTCAGATTGGCTGGGCCGCAAGTGTAGTCAGATACATTTTTAAGGGAGTGCTACTGTGAGTATGACTAATAATGGCATATACTTGTGTATGACTAATAATGGCATGACTAATAATGGCATACTTGTGTATGACTAATAATGGCATACTTGTGTACTCACACGAGGACTTTCTCTACTAAGCTCTGCACGTGATTGCAGTTCGGTTCATACAGGCTGGGCCGTAAGTGCAGTCAGATACATTTAAGGGAGTGCTACTGTGAGTATGACCTAATACTGGCATACCTGTGAGTATGAGCTAATACTGGCATACCTGTGAGTATGACCTAATTCTGGCATACCTGTGAGCATGACCTACTAATCGCATACCTGTGCACACCCAACCCGTCAACGCCATCCGAACGCCAGTTGGCATACCTGTGCACACCCAACCCCAACCCGTCAACGCCATCGGAACGCCAGCTGCGCGTCAGGAGGACGCGCGGGAGTGCTCAGGAGACGCAACTGCCTGCGCAACGCTTGCGATACTAACGACGATACTAAGGAGGGAGCCTCTGAAAGAGGGCATGCTCACACTAGGACTTGCTAGGATCTACCTGATGACCCCAATAACAAGCAGATTCTATCGAAAGAGTCCTCGTGCGAACATGCCCCCTAGGCGGTCTCGTTTTCCGACCCCCTAATGGAGGAATCGCTTTCGAGAAAGGCCAGAGAGATTGCAGAGTCGAGGAAGGCAGTTGCTCTAGTAAGCATGCAGTACCCGCCAGGCTCACTGCCATAGAAAAGAAGAAATACAGCAAAATGTTGTTCGTTCTAGAAAGAAAGGACTCGATACACGGGGCAAACCGCTGCTCCTGTTTTCCACTGAACAGAGCAACAGCACGCTGTTGCCGTCTTCTATAGACTACGAGGTCGGTCGGAGTGACAACCCCCCGCACAGGCAGGCAGGCAGGCACCCATTCGCTCCTTCGGAACAATCGAAGTGACGAATAGGGGTTGGCCACGTTGACGACCTCTTTCCGTTAACTACGCGTGGGTGTAATTAACGGATTCCTTCATTGTGGCGCAGGTAATGGATCATAATACTATATCATCAGAGAAGCGAGAAATGTGAGCTAACAAAGTATCATCAGAAAAGCGAGAAATGTGAAGCTAACAAAGCCGGCGCAGACAGGAGGTTAAGTAGTGCGAAATGAAACCGGCAAAAGACAAGCCTTTCCCCCGTTGTTGGGTGAGAGTAGGAATCTCGCTCAGCAATCCTACACAACAACGAACGCCGGCACAAGCAACAACAGGCAACACGAGGAGAGACCAGAAGAAAACCTGCGCGCCACTGCCCAGAGAACTGTTTCGCGGACAGGTGGAAAAGCCCCAAATTTTATCCTTCCCATAGAGCTTATTAGATTCAAAGTTCGTGAGAGAAGAGAGCAATGGACAGATAACAGAATGGCGGAACGGAATAGCCCAACCACTCACCCCTACCAAAAAATTCGTCAGATGGTCTCTGTGTGTGTGTGTGTGTGTGTGTGTGTGTGTGTGTGTGTGTGTGTGTGTGTGCGTGCGTGTGTGAATGTGCGCTTCATTGTCGCCAAACCCCAACCACCTCTGAAGCCTAAAAATACACAAAAGTCAACACAGAATGATTAAAGAATATCGCTAGGGGTAAAGAAAAAAGCACGAAAGAGAAAAGAGAGATTGTAAATGAACAAACTACCCAATTGTTCATCTAACTGGGGTTTAGGTTTCTGAAGCACGCGATAAAGCGCGCCGCTTCGATTTACGTGACATGATAAATTCGATTGTTGATTAAATTCATAACAACAAGATGGTACAGGAAACTGCGAGTCGTGATGGATGGAGAGAGGAGTCGGTACAGAAATAACAACCCAGGCAGTTTTCATAACGCGCGTTCGTAACGACCGTATTGCTTTCACCACCTCCTTATCCCCCATCAGGACAAAACAGAATGACAGAAATACGCGTGTCACCCCACGTCCTCAGGTCAGACGCTTGGATTGGAGATCAGACACGCTCTTTTTCCCCCTTACCCAAACAAAAATCATCGGCGGGGTCCTGCTCTCACAAGATTCGATATCCCGAAAAACCTCAACCCCTCCTCCCCCGCCCTTTGCAACCAGCTCCCCTACGCAAAACTCCTCCCCTTTCCTCAAACACCCTTTCTTCCACTAAACCTCTCCTCGTCATCGCCATCGTCATCGTCATTGTGGTCCTCCAACATGGTGCCCTTTCCCTCTTAGCAGATGATACGTGAGTTTGGTAGCATTTCCTTCGACGTAAGCATTTTTTCTTACCACTAACAAACTAGCATTCACGGAGGTTCACCTTGATCACGCAATTATGACATTTAACGCGCCACCTACCCAGCAGATCCAGGAATACAATTGATCCAGGACCAGGATTTGATCCAGGAATAGAATTGATCCAAGAAGAGAATTCCATCCAGAAACAAAATTTGCCCTCCGTTCCGTTGCTGCTGTTCTCACGGCCGCTAGCAGGCCACGCCACTGTAAGCTGGAGTTCGTCACGGCCGCTAGCAGGCCACGCCACTGTAAGCTGGAGTTCGCGTGTCCCGTACACTCGGGGATGATCTCAAAACCTCCCTCCTATCGACTGATGTGCGCCATCGAGGCAGAGCTCCACGTGGCACCTGACACGTGGATCTGCCGACAGCAGCACAGCCAGGTGAGTACCCCAGGACCATGAATCCGAAGATTAAAAAAGGCCCCATACATATCACTCGTGTGCGCACACTACACGACCCTGGCATACGACGACCCCTGCCCGCCGCAAACAAAGGCCGACTGCCCCAGCTCGTACCCTCTACAAAGGAGCTTGCCCAGGACGAGAGCCTTGAAAACCTACGTAAATCGACGGCAGTTAGCTGCCCGCAGAGTGGTACCTACGGGAATAACAAGAAAAAACAGTTCTAGAACATGAAACTGAGCAACCGAGAGCCTTTTAAAAAATAAAAAATAAAATTAAAAAAAGCAACCGAGCATCGCCCGCCGAAAAAGGGAGTGGCGAGCAGGCAGACGGACAACGGCCGTTCAAATTTGATCAGCGTCACCATCATTCTGGGAAAACGAGGAGCCACGGAGCGAGAGCGAGAGCGAGAGCGAGAGCGAGAGCGAGAGAGAGGAAAATACAAAAAATAAATGGACGGACGAATCACCCGCCATTAGCACTTGCACATTACATGGCCATCGTTACAGCCGAATCTGTCTGTGAAAGAGCGAGCTTAGTTGTGCGCTCACAAACCCGTCAAAACAGCCTCCTTTCTCCTCCTACCCATCCATTTGCCCCACAACCACCCTCCTCCCCGCGCCCCCTCCCCGCATACAGCCACCATGCCAGCGACAGAGCAACATATCTGCTTCTCCTCCTCTACCGACACGACTCCCCCGCCGTAGTCGATTACACTCCTCCCAACCTCTCGTGTACTCCTACCACCACCTCGAGTGGTACTATGGATGTACAACTCTCTCCCACTATGCATACCGTCATTCTCAGGTACAACTGGTATGAGAAGAGACAAGAACAAGGGACGAGGAGAGCACCAAAGAGGCACGATCAGATACATGATACGTACGACGGGGGGGAGGTTTCGACCTACATCCCACCCGGCGGGAAACCGCCTTCTACTCTACACACCTCGACTTTCCCTCCCTAACTCCCATCCATCGCTGCCTGCATTCGATACTTTTGCCCCTCACGCTCATCTGTGCATGATTCTTTCCTCCTTTTGTCATCGAGATAATACTGTAATATTACTCACTCCTCCATGGCCGCCACCTTTTCTCCAACATTACCGTTAGCCCCGGCCTCTGTAGCTTGCATGTAGCTGTCTAGGTCTTTATCGAGATCCTCCTTTGATACGGTTTGCCCTCCCCGACCCCAACCCCTTCCTCTTCCTCGCCCTCTGCCACCCGTTCCCCCACCAAATCCCCCCGCTCCTCTTCCGCCACGCCCCCACTGGCGGAACTGATCTTTAGGACCTAACCCAAAAGAGGCAGCTATGGCCGCCTGGTCCACAAGCCCATTGTATCTTGTCCCACGACCCCCGCCATATCCAGCCGAGAACTGTCCAGCGACTCCCCGTCCTGCTCCTCTACCAGGTCCTAAACCACGCCCTCCCCCGAATCCACCTCCACCTGCACTACCTCCCAAGCCCCACCCACCTGCTCCACCTCCACCTCCACCTCCACTAACTCCCATTCCCCGCCCACCTGCTCCTCTCCCTAATCTCCCAAAAACCCCACCTGTGGTAGTAGCATTCCCGTTGGCAATTGGCTGCTGTTGCGGAAACGTGCCGCCTCGTCTCATGGCGGTTATCGCCGCATTGCGCGCCTCGACGACTCTCTGTGAGGATTCCTGCCGCCTGAGGTTTTGATTGATCTGCTGATACTGCTGTTGTTGTTGCTGTTGTTGCTGTGCTCCCCTCGCCTCCGACACCCGCCTTTGCGCCAGCTGTGCAAATCGTGCGTCTAGAGTGATTGGCGCCCGATTCGTTGTCATCCCTGCTGGAGTATTCATCCCTCCGTTGACCATAGTTACACGGCGACTGACGAACTCCGCTCCCGCCCCCCCGCCAACGACCGCATTTCCACCGCCGAGAAAACCCCCGCCCGCTCCTCGTCCCCACCCGCCGCCGCCTCGACCGGCAGAACCCCTCCCATCGCCTCGACCGGCAGAACCCCGCCCGTACATTTCCTCCTCCTTCGCCGCCTCCTCGTGAGATCACTCGGCGATGATCCAAACTTTCACAAGGTGCTTTGCCCCGTTCTGTTTCTTCGCCTCCCGCTCGAGCGATTGGATTGTGAGATCGCGGGTGGGGTTCGTGATCAGATTGTGAGATCCTGGGGGTGTTGGCCAACACGCAAGCCGGCTATCGTATCTTGTCAAGACCTTTCAGCAGCTAATGATACGTATGAAGGTTGACGGTGTAGTAATTATTATGTAGTAATTACAAAACATGGATAGTCGGTTCGCCCGTTGATAATCACTGCATTACTCGTCATTACCTGTGGTCATGTCCGGAGATCGACACGTCGCAGATTGATAGCTGGATGGAATGCCCAACCTCCAATGATTGGCTTCGTCCTGGTTGCACGTCTTGCAACCTAGTCACGCCGTGAACCTAACTGCTTCCGTTCGCGACTTCAGGCAAGGCAAGGCAACGCCAGGCAAAGCAAGATCCACACTGGCTACCTAGGCCGAATACGGTAGATCGATGGCCTTACTTAGCCGCATTGCAAGGAAGTTGCCGGCAAACAAGCCAACGTGGTTGGCGAAGATCTGACTATATAAGGACGCTAACGACCGTCCACGTGCGAAGTTTCACCGGCCATACGGAGCATCGGTTACCCCACGTGGCTGGAGTTCAGGCAAAGCCCTAGCCCCGGTCCGTGGGCAGCCAGGGCCCAGACTGCTTACCCTCGACGACAACGAACACGAAAACGCAAGGCTCCTCTACTCTAACAGCAAATGTGCACAATGAGAACGAATCTTCCGCTGGAACATTGAAAGGTTCACCGCCATACTTACCGTGTTTTATGCATGTGGTGAGTAGTGGAGCGAGGCCCACAGCTGGGCCCACGTGGCTGATCTGTTCCTGCGTGCATGAACAGATCATGGGTCCGAATCCTGTGCACATAACGATACAACAACAAGGTCCGGGGCTACCCCGTTTAAACCACCACTACGGGCCCGCCGCACTACTCGTCAAACCCAGAGTTCTCACCTCCTGAAACAGGTGCTGAAAACTTACCAAAGTGAGCAGTCACCGCACCACCTCACCACAGTCCTCTTCGCATCAAGTAGCCTCCAGCTGCATAGCATCGTGTTCGCATTGACCGAACCCTACGCGAACGAGTGCCAAAACCCTCCCAACACGAACATGAAGTTAATCTTCTTTTTTAAATCTCAGAAAAATCTGAAAAAAATATATGCTATGTAAAATAACAATACAAACAACTTTTGCCTGGGAGGCATGTTACTCGAGTTAAAAATCAACCTTGTAGAAAAGAAACTCGCCACCTACTCCGATAATTTTGGGGGTGAGTCGCTGTTGAAAAATTTCATCAATGACTTTTATCGCATTTTCGGCCTCTGAAAGCCGTGGTGAGGGGGTGGTCAATGTATGGCCGAGTACTAGTAGTTTAAATCATCACTACGCACCTCAGGCAAAACGAATATATGCAAATATATTCGCCCCGGCTTCCAAGGTTGGGGCAACCAGACCAAGATGGTTGACGCCACCAGCCAAAAAAAAATGAAATCGTTGGTTGGTCTTCTTTTGGCGCGAAGCATGGTTCTACGCAGATTTTTGTCATAATTTGTAGAAAATTGGGTTGGTGAGCGCTCACCAACTCCCACTGACTTCTTTGCATGTAACAACTTTTTTTGTATGACTTTTAGGCAATCATTGAGTTTGGCGAGGTTGGGACTGGTCGACCCGTATATTGTTTAGTGTTCACTTTGCTTAGCATAACGTTCATATGCACATAAACAACATCAATTATAACCTCCTACATACGCATGACAAATATTTTTTTTTTTTGATTTTTTTGACTAAGCTAAATTATTTTCTCGATTTCACCTTACACTTTCTATCTACCACTATTCCTACTCATAGTATTACGGGGACCTCCTATTGGCCAGTCGGAGTTCACAATCCTCAAACAGGGGACATGCAGAGGCTGCGCCTGACCTCCAGGTGGGCAATACTGGTCAAGGGCCATGAGAAAGCTGATAGCATCAGGGACCATGCCAAGGGACCAATCAATATAAAAAAAATAAAGATTATTATAGTAAAACTAATTTATAAATACAAGTTAAAATATTATTAAAAAATAGAATAATAGTATTTCTATTGTCTATCAATTTTCATATGATCTGTAAATATTTAATATTTATTCTTAAATATTGATGTTTGTATTTTTTTATGACTATTTTATATCTATCTATAGATTCTATTATTATAATTTATTGAATTAAGTCGTTTGACAGATACTTTGCGGGTTGTATAATTCTAGTAAAACTAATTTATAAATACAAGTTAGAATATTATAAAAGAATAGAATAATAATATTTATATTGTCTATCAATTTTCATATGATCTGTAAATATTTAATATCTATTCTTAAATATTGATGTTTGTATTTTTTTATGACTATTCTATACCTATCTATAGATTCTATTATTATAATTTATTGAATTAAGTCGTTTGGCAGATACTCTGCGGGTTGTATAAGAAGACCGCATCAAAGATCGAAAAATATGTTCTCCGTAACGACTGAAAGAGACCAATCCCTGCACCTCCCATCTCTACGTGGTGGGCACCAAGCATGCCCATGAAGGCCCATAAGGCCAATTGGGATTGAACGCAACACCTCCCGAACGCCACTTGGGAGCCTTACCAACTGAGCTACGTCGCTAAATGTTTGACAAGTTTTCTCATGGCCACATCTCACTCACTAAATGCGGATTATTTGGAGGCCTGTGTAGCACACCGAATGTGTTTGGAGCTTTCGCGACCTTCTGAACACATTCGGGTGTCGATCGAACGCCTTTCGAACGTGTTTGGTCAAACATTTTTTTTAATGATTAGCACGACCACTTCGGACACATTGTTTTTCTTCTTCTTCATTTTTAAAAAGTTGGTTACATTTATTACAAATAACATAATTTAGGTGACGCCGAAAACCTCACAATTTGACCCGGGTGAACATACTGGGGCCTTCACCCAACTTCGGCTAAAACTGAAAACCGGGTTTAGTGTCTCACGAGCAACCTTAACCTATCACCAATTCAAAACCTTTATTCAAACTCTATGATCAAACTCCATGTTCAAACAACCTGTAGCAAGACGGTAGCTCTGGACTATGAAGGCGACCAAAAACTGAAATTCGTCATTTGAAAATGTAATAGTATGAACATTAGCATAGGTCATGGTACCATGGTGTCATTTTGAGGTGACTCCCTCTGGGTCCTCGCAATCCATCTGACCTCCCAATGAATGAGAATTACGGACACCTCTTGAGGCCTGACCACCACCCTCTACTACATTCTGAACCTTAAAAAAAAAAAAAAAAAAAAGGTAATAGTTTTAGTACGGCTAAACCCCAATATATAAACCAAACAACATATTTAGACTAAGCCAAGTAATCTGAAATATTTTGGAGAAAGATTTACCGAATAAGAAAATCAAGTACTGTAAAAGGAAAACAATACAAAAACTGGTCCATACCATGAAGAATCAGTCGGGTTTCAATCTTATCAGGTGCAGGAACACAAATACATCCAATAAGAAATACGTCCAAAACCAACCAATTCACTAATACTACTCATTATTAGCGTTTCCACCACCACTAAGTATACTCACACTGTGTTTGTAGCGCCATTACTTGTGGTCCCCATAATATCCAATAAGCATTGGAAGCCTGAGTTACTGACGGGTTTTTCATCACGCACCCTTGAGTCTCTACATGGTTAACAATCATAATAGGTATAACTTAAACTTTATTTCAACCGTCCTACCCACCTCGATAATTTACCATACATACTAGGCCTCAACACATCCAAACACTCGAAGACCTTTCAACCAATGATTGTTCACTAAGATTGACAAAAAAAAATTGAACAAATGAAAAAAAAATAAAACAAAGTACCGAATCACTGATAATAAAAGTTCAGCATATTTCAAGAGCTCTCGTGGATATGTGAATAAATCCTATATATATGATGATCTTACAGACAAGTCTTAAATTTGAAGCACTGCAGGTGATGCAACTATCATAAAATTATGTTCATGTTCAACAAAATGAGGCAGCCTATTGAGGAGACAAAGTACAAACACAAAAAACTCAACATTATAACGAAAAACGTAAGACGGAGATCCCAATGTCATTTGCAGTTTAAAGCTTGAGGAGCTATCAGAAAAAGAACCAAATAAACAGAAGTCACGAGTCAACCAATATAAACCAACACACAAACAAGGATAACTAGAAACACAGACAAACCGTGAGAAAACCGATACAGTCCAACCCAAGTCGCTATTACTAGAGTTAGAAAAATAGGCACGACTCGAGTCTACACCATATACAACTCAAAGGTAGGATGTGAGTTAAAGTGAAAGTGACGAAGAAGAGTAAGTGTTGACTACATGTTTGTTAGACCAACGCAATGATTAAATTTAAATTTATATTGAAGACTATAATAAATAGGTCAGAAGAGCAAGCAACATGTAAGACCTGTCAGGTTAAGGACAAAGGAAATAAAAAAAAAAAAAGGTAAATTTAGGGAGGATCCATTTAACACAATAACAACGAAGCAATTCATCCTTACTAAGTGGAATTAAGCTATGAATAATTGTTATCGTCTCTGAGAAGTGAGGAATTCACAAAAAAAGAATGAAGTTATTTGAGGAATTTGACTAGGTGCAAGTCAAAATCACAAATATCATCGAATCAAAAAATCTACAACTATTATCCACCTAGTTTAACTCAATTACAAGATTAGGAAGATTTCCAAATGCAGATTCGGACACGTTATAGGCATGAATTGTTTTTAAAACATGACTAAAAAACGATAGATGCACAAGTCGTAGGAGCGAGAGGTTATAAAGGGTTTAAAGTGAGGATAAAGTATATAAATGGAATCACAATTATAAAAAAAAATAAAAATTTGAATGTGATGAAAAAAATTTTGATTGATCTCTAATAGGTCCATCATGTAAACAAGCTATAACCCGATTGATTTCACATGTAGGCATGACTATGATTGTGCTTCATGCCCTTGGCACCGCAGAAAGATGTTCCCACCGCCAATAGTGAAGCTCCCACTCTTCAATGTTGACGTTGTCACCTGCAGGGCTTCAGATCTTCACACTTATGGAAAAGGTAATTTAGTGTTTCACTCATGATGCTCTTAAAACTGTCATTTCGTCAAAATGGACATTTTGTATTTTTTGAACGAAATTAAAACTGAGTTTTTTCAAGTTTTTTTGTCGGAAACTCGTCTAAGTTTGCTGCTCTTGAAGGTCCGGCGTTTTTCAAATGTTGGACCCCCTGTATGTATCTTGACCTAGCTTTAGACCAGATACATCCAAGCGGGCACCCCTGGGTGTATCTGGTCTCAAACTTAGTCCTAATACATCCAGGGGGTCCGGCATTTTAAAAATGTCGGACCCTTAGGAGCAACAAAATTTATACGAGTTTTTGGCCAAGAAAGTCGAAAAAACTCAGTTTCAATTTCGTTTAAAAAATACAAAATGTCCATTTTGACAAAACGGTAGTTTTAATAACAGTCTCACTGCCACCAATTGCTCTCCCATTGCCTCCGGAGGTGCTGCAGCCAGATGCACTACTCGTCACGTACTGAGTTTTCTTTCTCCTTCATCGTGTCAAGTCTCCCTTAACTATTCGAGCTATAGACCACCATGTATTTAGGCCACCAAAGGAGTTAAATACAGAGTTGGAATCGTTTAGTATCTTAAGGCTTGTGAGGTGTAGGGGATTCAAAATCATCCTACGCCTTGCTATTCCACAAGACGAAGCAACCCCTTGTCGAAGTTGAGGATGATTGTCGAACCTCGGGGATGACGAAAATAGTATCGTTTAACCCTTCGAGTCGAACTTCATGTCAGCGATCGATAACAAGAACGTGGTAGTTTCTGACAACAGACTCACCCGTAGAAAAGGGCAATGTTGGGGTGGTGCCGCTCCCCAAAACTTTCTCGGACGCATATGTTTTGTGCGCTATTTCAACATAACTCTCGCGGCCAGTCATCACGGTTGACTGAGCTATTGCCAATCTTCATACAACAAGTGTCCAACT